TTCTCCGAAGACCTTAAGTGTTAAGGAAGGGTTAGACTTAATAATTGTATAATTTCGGCCGGATATTCGGGGGGCCGTGCCGGCACGCGGCGCTCGTCGCACCTGGTAATCGTCTTCGTGTTTCGCTTACGCATTATTATTATTATTACTATAATCGTTATTCATCAATCGTTACTCGTTTAGGTTAATTATCGTAATATATTATATTTATTATCGGTATTGTTATTGTTATCCCGTTTTTATACAATAAAGTTTTGGGTGGTACTCGTAAACAGTCCTTGAGCTCGTTAAAGGCTTTTAAGGAGACCCGTGTACGTGCTCTCCCCGGCGTTTCTTCTTCGAAGAAAGTTGTTTTCATTTTTTTTTTTCCTTTTCTTTCTTTCTTTCTTTTTTTTTTTTTACGTTTCACGATTCCCGTCTTCTTGGTTTCTTTGTTGTTTTTCATTTTGTTTCGTTTAGAAAAAAAAAAACAAAACGAAGTAGATAGTAGTAAAGGTAGTAGTAGTTGGTAGCGATAGTAGTAGTTTAGTAATAGTAGCGGTAGTAGTAATTAGTAATTAGTAGTGGTAATAGTAATGGTAATAGTAGTAGCAATAGTAATAATAGTAATAGTAGTGGTAGTAATAGAAGAAGAAGATAGAGGAAGTAGAGGAAGAAGAAGAAAAAGAATTAGAAGAAGTAGAAGAAGAAGAAGAAGAAGAAGATGATGAAGTAGAGTCCCTTAACGATACTAGAATGTACGCTCGCTTAAACTTCATTTAAATTTTACTTTGGACGCAATTCGTTTTTCTCGGTTTTTTTTTCTTTTTGGCTAAAGTGAACGGCGGAATGTCGGATATTATCTCGCTTCTCCCTCTTTCTCTCGTTCTCTCCCCCGCAGACACACACACACACACACACACACACACACACACACACACACACACACACACACGCACGTAAACACGCGCTCACCCCCAGTTGTCACGCATTATCACACAGTCTTGAAATTCATGCATTCCGTTATACAAGTCGGTGGAGACGAGCATAGCGTGGCTGGTCGTAAAGTATGTCTCTTTTACAATCGTGTTCTATTGCGACAAAAACTGCAACTGCAAGAATGCAAGAGGGAAAACACTGAACCCAAACAGGCAGAAATACCAGATAGTTCTAAAATCCTGGGATGGAAAAGATCCAACGAACTTTTCGCAACCGCTGTATTAATGCTCTCGGGATTTCATTCACGACCAGACCACCTGTTTCTACTCCACCAAGTATACCCTCCACTCAAACACCTTCGTTCATCTTGAACATCGATCTTCGACCGGACAGAGCGTCGAAGGATCGATTGTTCCGTTCGTCGGATTAACTAAACGCTTATCGTATTTGTTTTTTTTTATCGTGGGCAGTTTTCTTTCGTGATTTTCCACTCTCTTCCCGTATTCTCCAGACAATACATATGTCACTAACGCGAACGATTATTCCCTCTTTTTCCCTTTACTTTCCTTTCTCTCTCTCTCTCTCTCTCTCTCTCACACGCTCTTTTTCTTTTTCACTGTCATTCTTTCCTAATCTTTCTCGATTTTTGTAACCAATCGCTCTCTCTCTCTCTCTCTCTCTCTCCCTCGTTCACTCTCGATCGTTTAAGTACTCTTAAGCTTTATCGTTACTTAAATAGTTAAATTTAGTAGTAATGCGATAATACTTTAATAAGGCCCAGTAAGGCTGCGTGGGTCAACGAACTATCCCACAGAAATTTAATATTAACACGTTTATTTTTTTTTTCTCTCTTATTCTCGCGTTAAAAATCACACGATTCCATTTTTCTTTTCCGACGTCCATGTCCCGTCCCGTCTCGTCGCCGTCCCGTTTTCATCCGTCCTGAGTGTACAATGTATACGTCAGTCCTGGAGAGACGTTTCCGTCAACGACGTTCTCGGTCGTCCAAAAGGAAAGAGAACGGAAAAGCAAAGAGTTGTCTTGGCCAGTCGTCGCTGCCAAGCCTCTCTCCCCCCCCCCAAAGATCTCTGATTTATATATTATTGTCACGTTGTATTGTTCGTTATTCGGGATTCACGCGTATTTTGCCTGCTGCGCAAAAACCCTCGTCCAGACTTTCTGCCTCTGTCCGCGTGTTTCAAGTGCTCGGATGAGGGGTGATGTGTCCTCTGTGTGTCTCTCTGTGTGTGTGTATTATGTGTGAAAGCCACCCCTCATCGAGTTCACACGTGCGTCTAGGACTGTTCTTCAAACACGATTCCTCGACTCGTGACAAGAGCCTCGATGCGATTGGTATGCGATTTAATTTGTGTATACCCGTAGGTTCGCGTGTTCTTACGTTTCCTGTGTGTATATATGTATATATGCGTGTCCTTTGATTACGCGTTTAAATTAAGTAACTTATGGAATGCCCCTAGAGACTATAATACAGACTTGGCGCGAGCGCGTGTACAATACGTGTTCAAGGTGCGTATCTCGCCGGAGTTTCTGAACGAACGATTAACATATTTACTCGAGAATATACAATACGCTCGAACGCAGCAGCTGAAGTTCGACGAGAATTTCGCTAATAAATGATTCTCTATCCCCCTAAATCGGTCAGAAAGTGCATTGCCACTATATTCTCCTCGATATTTGCCAGTAATGTCTTCTGTGTTTGTCGGTCTGCGACTACGAATGCATTACTACAAAAGTTGCGGTGTCTTCTCGAGACTAGGTACTCACCGTCTGAGGTAAGTCTCATTGTTATAAACTTTTGATATTTAGCGAAGTATCGAGCATGCAGCGAACAATCCGTGGGCTTAGACGATACTACACGTATAATTCTTGGTAAGCGTTCATTAATTCACCTCCAACGATCGCGCACCCTATTAGACACGCGCGCGTGTGTGTGTGTGTGTGTGTGTGAGTGTTTTGTGTGTGTCTGCGCGTATACGTGATTCCTTGGATTTACGAATCGAAATTAATTAGACTCGAGAGATATGGTACAGAGGTTTTTCATTGACGATAGGAAGATAGGAGGTACACGTTATGTATTATAAGAAGCGAGAAAGGAAAACTCGTTTACGGAGAGACTATATTATTCGGTAACGGCCGTATACAGTCGATAGAAAAAAAAAAGATACTTCGTTGCCCGCGGTGGTGTTTGTTCGTGTGTGTTTCGTGTGTCACTCTGTGTAGTTCGTTGCATAACCCTTCACGTCGGGTTGCCATCAACTGGTAGACATCGCGGCAAAAGTCTTTGAAACATCAACACGCATGCTACATATGTACGTCCCCGCGATAAATCCATCTCTGCCGACCCCTTACGTTCGAATACAATTAATCAATTAATTAATAATAATAATAATAATATTTTCTCTTATCCTTTTTTTTCATTTTTTGAACTCTTAAATACTTCCCACCCCGCCCAACCCCGCTCGTGTTCCCACCCTCTTCCCCGACGCGTC